AAGGAAGGACAAGAGAGAACAGAGTCAAATGGAGAATTGCTGTTTAAGGCTGTTTATGTTCCACCAGGATCCCAAGAGAATAATAGTAGTAATAATATAATAGATGTAATCGTAATATCATTTGTATTTCAATATAGCAAAATTATTCATTCATACATCTATAAAACACAAAATAATAGAGCAAAGAATATCCTTTTCGATAAATTATTCCTCTTCTCGCTCTACAATCACATAAATATGTATGTTTATATACATAGAATATTCTCGAATGGTAGTCAATAACAATATTAGCGTTTTTTAAATAATATCGATTTGTAAAGTAAGATCACAATGGAATTACTACAGTTCATTAAAGATACTTAAATAATAATAATAATAATAACAATAATAAAAATATAGTAGCAAATAGAATATCAACTAAAATTAGGAAAATTCCACAAAAATTCAGTATCATTCAAACCTAGATGGCCAGTTACATAGGCCGTACAATGAGGTGTGTTTCTCGTTGGATTTCCGAACATCACCCTGTGTGGCTGGTTAAGTAAAGGACAAACAAAATCTATTCGCAGCGCTATTCTATCTCATCTTGTGGATACAGAACACAAGATTGACGTTAACCAGACAGCTTTCAGGGTCATTTACCGCCTACCTACGAATCTCAATTTCGCTGAGGTTGGCTGTTGGGATCCATATTAAGAAGCCTAATTTGTGAATCCAAAAGAAGTTGGTTCAGACATTAACATTACCTTGGCCATCTAGGTTTGAATGATCCTCAAGTTTTGTGGAATTTTCCTAATTTTAGTTGATGTTCTATTTGCTACTATATCTTTATTGTAATTATTATAATTTAGGCACCTTTAGTGAACTGTAGTAATTCCATTGTGATCTTACTTTAAAAATCGATATTATTTAAAAAACACTAATATTGATATTGACTACTAATCTAGAATATTCTATGTATATAAACATATATACATAATTGTACAGCACGAAGAGGAAACTATCGAAATGGATATTCTTTGCTCAATTATTTTGTGTTTTATTTGTATTTGTCATTCATTCCGTAGGCTTATTATTATTGTTATTATTAATCTCATTCTCATAGATATTTGTGTTAAAATATAAAGGCAAATTAAAGTTATGTTATATTGAGGACAACCCCCCCCACACACACAGAATGTAGAATAGATATAGAATTAGGCTTTTCAAACTGTGGGAAAAATACACTATTGTGCCAAAGTTTCAATGAATTTATTTTCCCATCACTAAAGGAAACAATAATAATAATAATAATAATAATAATATAATAATAATGAATAGATAGCTAAATTCAATAACATCGCATAAACCGGGAATTATTCATACACACCACATAATTCAATAACTTCTACTAAGACTAATTATTAAAAATAATATTAGTAATAACTAAATGCGAGAACCAACTGTTTTCTTTTCGAAATGTTGGACTGAGGATAGATGCAATCTTAAGGAGTTTTCAAGTAAGCAAGAATAGCAAACAGAGCGCAAAAAATATCCCCAATTGTATCAGACATCAGTATATATATAAATTCATAAATTTATAGTCCCCAATGAAGGCCGACCAGGGCAGTAGTAGTGGCTGGCTGGACTTGCTTCTTCTGTACACAAAGCACCAGTTGTCTCAGGCGAATCACTATAGCCTCTGCTGTTTGGAGTATGCGGTACCTGGATGTTTTTGGCAATTTATTTGGTACCCGGTAGATGATAGAGAAGTATTCTTCAGTGGTAGCTCATTCGCTGCTTTGTATTAGGTGGTCTAATGTCGAACTGTTGATATATATTGGTTGTTGCTCTAGAAACTTGATTTTTGTGCTTGCTCGGGAACATCTACCAGTGTGGCTGAGCAAAGGTGTAGTAAAAACCACCATCAACAGTTCGATATTAGACCATGTGGTCCAAAGCCGTCACAAAGACACCATTGAAGAATCCCTCTCTGTCATCTACTGGGTACCAAATAAACTGCCAAGAACATCCAGGTACCGCATGCTTCAAACAGCAGAGGCTATTGCAATTCGCGTGAAACAACCAGTGCTTTGTGTGCAAAAGAAACAGGTCCTACCAGCCACTACTGTTGCCATGGCCAGCCTTCAACAGAGACTATAAATTCATGAATTTGTATTATTATTTTTCCTAATTTTTATGACATTCAGTTTATAGTTATGTTGATGTAGTCGGCTAATTTCACTTTATTGCCTAGAAAACTGTTCATGTGTCTGTCATTACGAATCTATTAGAAGTGAGCAGAGGTATGGTTCACTCAAGAGAGATGTTTCTGGAAGGTAACGTGCATAATACTATGGCTGAACAGGGTTATTCTCAATGGATTTATAAGGAGACGCGTAAACAATGTATACAGAGTAAAGCAAAACCGACCACAGTTACACATATTGCCAGGGCGATTCAGAAAATAGATTTGCTTTCCATATAACTGTACTACACTGTGTGATTTATCAAAAGAAAATCTTATCCATTATGGAATTATACTCTACCACAGTGCCCAAGTTTTATACTTATATCGATTTGCTTTCCAGTTTTCAGTCATGTCATCAGCATTCTGAAGCCATTAATTCTTAGCGTCAGCAAGTCTACACCCCCGCACACACTCCACGTGAACCAAACCAACAGTCACAGACTTTTTCTTTCGACTCTAGGTTTTCGTTTGACAAAACCTAACTCTTTTACAACCCAACTGAATGTTAGTTAACACTGATTGACAATGAAGACAATGGCTTAGGATGTGTAACACGCGTCTTAGTCATTACCATCGATGAAGTTCCACAATCTCATCAGTTGACTTCTTCACTTTACCTAATAATCTAATATTCCTCACCTAACACAAGAGATAGAAGGCAGACAACTGTGGTGAAGGATAGGAAGTCCCTTCATATATTCTACTTTCAAAGGCCATGTCTTGCAGTCATAAAGAGGAATGTGTGTATTATTATATTTTATTATTATTCCCTTGGGTTCCAAGTGGAACATAAGGCTTCAACAACACATATCCACTTTCTGCTATTTTCTGCCGTCGTCTCCATGATTGCCCATCATCTATCATCTCCTCTTCGCACTACCTACTCTATGTCACTCTAGGACAACATACTCGTCGCTTCCCATTCGGATTCCACTCGAGCACTGGCCTGAGCTGCGCGCGATGTCATTCGATGACCTCCTCAACACGTATGCCCGATCCATCTTCATTTTCTCCTACATATTTGTTGAGTGATCGACTCTTGGTTGGTTCGTCGCCGGTCAGAGTTTCTTGTCTCTAATTCTTTCTGGCCGGCCGGCCATTTGATCTTCAGTATAGAGCCAGCGAAGTGGGCGGCTGTTGATGAAAGTCTGCAACTTGCTGTTGGAAATCCTTCTCGTGACACGCTGGACAATTTTCTGACCTGTAGAAAAGTACTGACCGACTAACTTCACATCCCTGCTAAAGAGAATCCGAATCTTGTTCTTCATGCTGGCTGACTGAGTGCAGAAGATTTTCAAACTGGTTTCAGGTTGATGAAGGCGTATCTCGCCCTTCCGATTCTGGCTGGCTGCCTTTGACATCTTCATCAGTGCTGTCCACTGTGGTTGGAACAATGCTTCCTTGCTGGGTAAGTGAAGGAAGTAACCTCTGTTAAATCTGTCTCTTTGATGATTGGTGTTGGTTGTTGTAGCTGTATCTGTTCTCTAGTTATCTTCATCACCTCCGTCTTCTCTATGTTCATCTGCAGTCCTGTCTTCGCCGCCTGCTTCCTTAGCCAGTTTGTTGGTTTTCGTCTGCCCGCCCGTAAGTCTTCGAGTTTGTGTGACATTTGACGTGAGTCATCTGCAAAATCCAGACCTTCTAGAATGTTCTTATCGCTAGTCCAACGTATTTCTGTCTCCTCACTCACTGTGTACAGTTTGATGCATAATCTAGTCCACCACAATTAAAAATATCATCGGTGACACTAGCCAATCAGCCTTGTCTTACTCCTGTATTCACTTCTAAAGCCTCATTGAGTTTCCCATTGTGGATCACCTGACACATGGCATTGTCTGTCATCTAGTTGTTGAATGAGATTGAGAAAGACTTGAGACACTGCACGCTGTAGTGTTGAAGTAGTTTTCAAATTATTTCTCGGTAAACGCTGTGCTGCCGAAGGCCTTTTTGAAGTCGATGAAGTTGAGGTAGAGAGAGGTTTGACTACCATTCTATGCTTTATTCTGTGTTAACGATGCATAGACTTGCAATTTGATCAACACATGATTTACCTTTGCTGAATTCAGCTTGTTCCGGACTGGCGAGGTTCTGCATCCAGTGCAGAATATGTGTGGTGAGAGCTGTCTACTAGCCAAATTGGTAGACAGTAATTTACGTCAATATTTACGTTCCCAAGATTTGTCGTGAGAAAATGTGAACAAAGACTGATTCAAAACCGACCACAGCAGACTTTGCGTAGGCGGATACAGTTAACATATAGATGATCTGATATTCAAGAAACAGTCACAAACAGATGAAAGATTAACTTTACGTGAGAAACAACCAATCGGAAGACTGTGTTTGTTTGCTTAACTAAACTACAATAATGTACATGAAAATATATAAATATGCTGTGATTTCCTTAATAAATGAACTGTTGCCTGACTCTTACCTTCTGTCGTTACATATGTACTGAACAGCAAATTGACCAACCAGTTCCCGTCCATCCTTAGTCTAGGAGTTGATCTACACAAGTAATCAAGCATCCTCTCATATCTGATTGGGGCGAATCACATGCATGTACACAAGGATATATGCTTCGGAATTGACTTACCCCAAAGCGTCTATAATCAACGCATTATGGTTCAATAAATACACTAATATAAGACCGAAAAATCACTACACATATGAAACCTTCACTTATCTCTATGAAATTGGCATTAACACAGAGTGAGATGAGATAATCCAAAATAAAAATACCATGTTTAATTTAATTTTTAAAAAAAGTTACCTTTAAACCATTTGGAATTTGACTTTTAACTTTTTGTCGATTACGATCTGTACTACTGATAAGGTTGTTAGTAGTACTACTACTCGAGTTGGTAGTTGTAGTGGATTTACGCGTCACCTCTAATACACTACGTCGATATAATCCACCGGCTTCAATAAATTCACCACAATTAGTCACTTGAAATTCTCCATAACTGGCACTGATTGGTAATTTGCTGTCAGCTTCTTTACCGGCAGCATCAGAACGATGATTATTATTATTATAGAGATTTTGATGTTTTGAAGAAGAATTTCTCGTCGGCCAGTATAATGCACATTTTGGGCGTTGACCTTCAATTACTCTGAATTAAAAAAAATAAATAAAATAAAATAAATTAGATGAGGAATGTAGACATGAATCATACAGAATGATTGACATTATAAGAACAGAAAACAAATATACCAGTAGGAAAATGATGACTAACTCTCATATACAGTGTAGATTTTATCCATAACCTAAATCAGTTAGAAAATGATTAAGAACCAGAATGAAGTGAACAGATTCTTCATCCCAATATGGTGCTCTTCAGCTATGGGCATACAAGAATCAAACCTAAGACACTCACGTCCCAAGGCGAACTTGTTGAACATGAAGCCTTCAGGTTGGAATTTGTTGGCTCATAAATGACATGCAGTGCTACCGGGTATTTGCTTCATCCTGACACAGTGGATCTGTGGCGTGCGCTGTTGACATGATTTATCAGTAGCATACCAATGCAGATTGATAGAAAGCGATCAGAATTGAAACCAACATATTAAATCAATGGTTGCACAGGTAGAAGCGTTTATTTCTCAAACCTGGATCTACTTTACGTTGTGGACATGAAATAACCTTGTTGGGCGACTTTTCGTCTGATTCAAGTGTAAGTTTGTAGGAATTTGATTGGTTACAAGATTTCATCATGAGCTGACATTAGTTAGAGAACCATTGGAAAACCAGCTGAAAGTACTGGACAGCAGTTTCGCCCTACTTTGGGACTCTTCATCAGTACGCACTCACCCCATTTCGGGGTTCGAACCTAGGACCTTCTGGTTACAAGGCTAGTGAGCTCGTAGACTGTTAGGCCACTAGGACCAGATCCAGTGGCCATTCCATGAATTCTAACTTCTGCCAATTCACGACATAGTGCGACCCCTAGCCAATGTCTTCGGCGAGTATTTGTCCTTACACCCGGCCTGCTGCACCCTACTGTTCACGACTTCTCACTAGAACCCCAGGTAACTACCTACCTGAATAGGGCAAGTCGCTAGTGAGCATCTCTTTGAAATTCAAGTGTTGGCTTGTAGGGATTTGATTGGTTACAGTGTGATGAGAGCTGTCTACTAGCCAAATTGGTAGACAGTAATTTACGTCAATATTTACGTTCTCAAGATTTGTCGTGAGAAAATGTGAACAAAGATTGATTCAAAACCGACCACAGCAGACTTTGCGTAGGCGGATGCAGTTAACATATAGAGGATTTGACATTCAAGAAACAGTCACAAATAGATGAATGATTAACTTTACGTGAGAAACAACCAATCAGAAGACTGTGTTTGTTTGCTTAACTAAACTATAATAATGTACATGAAAATATATAAATATGCTGTGATTTCCTTAATAAATGATCTGTTGCCTGGCCCTTGTCTTCTGTTGTTACAACAGGACTTCATCTGATTGTTTAACCTTAAGCCAATCACCAACCAATCAGAACAGTATATTGTCCGATGATCTAACCGACTTTCAATGTGGTTAAAAATGCATTAAAATATGATGTGTTTTTCTGTTATAAAAAAAGTCCGCTACCGATTCTCTTGTCTTCAGGACATCCTCGCCTATAGCCTCTAGTGAGCTGGTGATTTGTATTCAGATTTAGCGGGGTTTTCGATTCATTTCGACAAAGTGGTGAGCTACTTTGCATCAAGCGTAAAGAGAGTGCCGGTCGATAGCAATGAATGGTGGTCGTGCCACATTGTAAATATAAGTGAAGTACAACTTCAGGGGCTTTGATGTGGTTGTGTTCTCTGAGATGGATAGTTAATTTGCAAAGCTTTCATCGCCCCCTACTAGGCAACATCTTCCTTCAGCGCATACTTCAATTCGATGAAGTGAGCTTTTAGATTTCTCCACGAGTTTATTGATCATCTCTCCTGGCGGTGACCTTGGACGTGATTGGTTGTTTTCGTGTTTTCACACCCTCTAGGCTACTTGTATTGGAACTGATTGCTTTTTCGACTTGAACTTTGATCCTTTGTGTGTGAGGTTTCTTTCTTATCGGTTGATAAATTTTGTCAATCTCGATGTGTCTATTGATTGATGATTCACTGGAATACCAGCCAGGCTTCTAAAAATTCTCTAGCATTCTTGTTGTTTCCTCTGCTGTCTAATATTTGAACATTGTCCCAATCGAATTGATGTCCGTGGTTGTCTGTATGTAGTGATATCACTAAACTCAAGGAGAAATCTAAAAGCTCACTTCATCGAATTGAAGTATCCGCTGAAGATGTCACCTAGTGGGGTGATGAAAGCTTCGCAAATTAACTATCCAGCTCGGAGAACGCAACCACATCAAAAACATCCACCTGAGCTACAAATCTTCTCCATCAAATCTAACTTCAGGGGCACTGCGTTTCAGCCCAGTAGGCTGAAAGGTTAAAGGTTGATCCCTGATGGGGTCATATAGATTCACACTGAAGAAGAGTTTCAAGAGACGATAAAACAGCTGTCCAGTGCGCTACCTGGTTTTCAATGGTTCTCTTACTGATACCGATTCTTTACGAGATCTCTATGGAAATTACACACAAAGTTTAGCATTTAAGATTAATTCAATGAATGAGGCACCTTTAATACAGCACACAAATAAGAAGTCAGTCACTGCTCCTATACGAATCAGAAGTACGGCGAACGCGTCACCAAAAGCATTTCTAACAGCCAGCTGACGGAGTTTATCAACAACTGCCTTCTTCAAATAGTCGGTCAGAAAGAATGAGTGAAGAAAATCTCTGTTGACGAACCAACGAAGCTTCCAGTCCCTGAGGAGACCGTTGGGTGACGCTGTGAGCCATGAAGACCCTCAAGTGTAGCCTGATTGGGAAACAACAAGTTGGGTATGAGTCTGAGGGTGATATAGAGGAGATCGTGTGAGGGTGAGGAGATGAGAGACTATGCGGAATCTTGGGGCCAGCTAAAGAAGGACAAAGTCAGCTTGTTCTATTGAATCCCTTTATGTTCCACTAAGAATTCAAGAGAATAAATAACGACAATAATAATAATCATAATATAACTGGCTAAATTCGACTGATTCTCCTATGATTCGATGATTGTTCTTAAACCTTGCCAACTAATAATCAATAATAATGATAATAATTATTTAAAATAATGATTAAATAAACATGGGAAGTGTGTGTTGTTGTTTACATAATAAATAATCTTTATCGTAAAATCAACAAATAAAAATGAGAGAAAAACAAAACAAAACAAAACGCGGGGAATGAATAAACAATTGACAAACTGTGGCGAGTGCTACTGATAAGATTTATCAGTAGTATATGAAGAGACGTTCATCGGCATAAAAAAATCAAATAGCAAGGAGATACATTTGATATCAGAGAAGGCAAATGATACAGAGTTGTTGTGGAGATATACATGGGAGACGACGTGAAAGGAACACAAAGAAACACATAAAATGAAGGGAGGTGAGAAGTAGCACAACACGGAAAATAAGGTAGGTCTTTACCAAGTCTTTGGGCTTCTGCCTTTTCAAAACGAACTGATTAACTATCTAACTAACTCACTTAGTCAGCATAATTATAGTGACAACTTTATGCTCCCAAACAGTCATCCAAAATTCACGTATTGTATTCTCTAAAGGACCTGTGAAAATCACAAAATTCAATAAACAAAATAAATAAATAGGAGAATTATTTAATAATAATAATAATAATAATAAATGGGAGTAACGAATTTACTTAACAACGCAAAAAACAGGAAAGATGATTACCGCGTGAATAAACACAACAAGGAAGGGTATTCATTTTTCCATTAACAACAGAAATGCTTATTCCTCTGTAAGCAAAGTTTACGGTCAAAAAGTATTTGCGTCAATCAATCCATACAGATTGAAAAAAAGTTGTTTCTATTTCAAGTATTTGTTTGGTAGGGATTTTCGTTTGATTGGTCGGAGGATTTCATCATCAGCTGATTGACATCAGTTAGAGAACCATTGAAAAACCACCTGAGAGCACTGGACAGCCACCTGTTTCGCCAGCCTACTTTGGGACGCACCCACCACGGGGGTTCGAACCCAGGACCTTCGGGTTACAAGGCTAGTGAGCTCGTAGACCATTAAGCCACCGGGACGCGATCTAATGGCCAGTCCATGAATTTTAACTGATGTCAGCTCATGATGAAATCCTACGACCAATCAAACAAAATCCCTACAAAAACCAACACTTGAAAATTATTCTGACGCTCACTAGCGACTGGCCCTATTCAGAGAGTAACCTGGGGTTCTAGTGGGAAGTCGTGACCAGTAGGGTACATCAAGTTAAAGGTGAGAACAGTTACTCATCGAAGAAGACATTGCGAAGTGGTCGCGCTATGTCATGAATTGGCAGAAGTTATAATTCATGGACTGGCTATTGGATCAGGTCCCAGTCGCTTAGTGGTCTACAAGCTCACTAGCCTTGTAACCAGAAGTTCCTAGATTCGAACCCTGACAGTAGGGTGGATAAGTACTGCTGAAGAGTCCCAAACTAGGTTGACGAAACAGGTGGCTTTCCAGTACTCGTAGGTGGTTTCCCGATGGTTCTCTAACTGAAGTAACCTCATGATGAAATCCTACAACCAATCAAAAGTTGTTTCTAATTAGTAAACTGAAAGAGGAGAGTCAGTCTAGAAGAAGGAGTAAAATAAACACATGTACACACACATAGGCGAAGAGAGACGCAGATATAAGTGAAATTTCATAGTAGAAGTCAAGCACATATCTCTTTTGAATGTACGGAAAGTCAAAATTAGCTGTTGTGGAGAAATGTGCAAATGCTGCATCTCATTGGCTGAAAAACTCTATTTTCAGCTAGTCAGTTCGAGTCCTGTAGGACTGATTAGCCTTCACATATAATAAGTGTGTGGCTCATACCTTGGCACAAGAATAATCTTTTCTAGATTACTGACTTTTAGCTAACAAACGGACTGAGATAGATTATCGTAAAATTCTGGACACAGGTAAGTATAATATTATCATTAATATTAGGATTATTCCTTCGGAGTGCGAATGAAACATAAGGTTCTTACTTGGCAAACTGGTTTTCAACAGTTCGTTCACTAACTGATGTCACCATCAGCCAGTTTATGATGCAACTTGAAATCAATCAAATCTCTGTAGACTTACTGACTGACTGGTTTCAACATAGAACTTTGCACTGATGTGTGCAGCAGTTCGAGTTGTCACACTTCATGTAGCACACAAAGTAAGAGTAGAAAGTAAAAAGAGATTCAAAACAGAGGCAGTAAACAGAGATATAAGGCAAAAAGAATAGTAATATGGAAGAACAATACAGTCTTATTGGATATTATATGTCACAAGGAGTGGATGCATCTGCACCAGCCATTGAGAATGATTTTGAGCCATATCACCAATTGTTTTTAGCCACTGGTGTTTACCATCCTGAGGACTCCAAACAGGAAGCCAGTCTACACCTGGGAATCAGAGACGGTTCCATCAGATTGGGGTAAGTTACTTATTATACCAATATTCAAGAAGGGAGACAAGTCCTCATGTGATAATCATAGAGGAATCAGTCTGACGAACATAGTCTCTAAAATCCTAGCCTCAGTAATCATGCACAGACTAAGCCGAACTCGGGAGGAACAAACGAGGGAAAATCAAGCGGGCTTTAGGCCAGGTACAGGGTGCATAGATCATATCTTCACGCTCCGACAGATCCTAGAACATAGACACACTTTTAGGCGTCCAACAATTGCCATATTTCTTGACTTGAAGGCGGCCTTCGACTCCGTGGATCGAGAGGTACTGTAACAACAGAAGACAAGGGCCAGGCAACAGATCGTTTATTACGAAAAATCAACACGTATTTATAGATTTTTATGTACATTATTGTAGGTCAATGTTAGTAGAAAATACAGTCTGTTGATTGGTTGTTTCTCACACAAAGTTAACCTTGCATCTCTTGTGGCTGTGTCAGTTCATCTATATGTTAACTGTAACCGCCTGTCCACCTTGAACTTTGACCTCAATTACTGTCAACCAATTTGGCTAGCAACCATCTCTCACCACAACATGACTAATATTTGATACATAAACATTGACCTCAATTACTGTCCACCAATTGGCTAGTAGACAGCTCTCACCACAGTACTATGGCAATGTTTGACTGTGAAGGGAGTGCCAAGAAAGTACATTGCACTAATCAAGACACTCTACTCAAACTCACGTAGCCATGTAAGGGCTTATGGGGAATTGTCATCTGAATTGATAACAACCAGTGGTGTCCGTCAGGGATGTCCACTTTCCCCTTTTCTGTTTAACTTCATCATAGATATGCTAATGGAAGTATCCTTAACTGAACTTAACGACTTAGGAATCGACTTGTTACCAGGGAATAGCCTTATGAACTTAGAATACTTAGTCCTGTTAGGGGAGGACGCTGACAAAATGCAGAGTCTTCTGAACACCTTGAGCAGCAATCTTCGTATGTTTGGCATGCCATTCGCCCCTGTAAAATGTAAGATGCTGCTACAGGACTGGACTACATCAACTCCTAGCTTAGTGATAGGGAGTGAAGTGATAGAACATGTTGACCACTTCACCTATTTGGGAAGTTGTATCAGCACCAACGGATTCATTGGTGACGAAATCTCAGCACGGATCCAAAAAGCTCGGGCTGCTTTCGCTAACTTACATCATCTCTGGCGTAGGCGTGACATCCGACTATCAACCAAGGGACGTGTGTGCTGCTCAGAAGTTCGCTCCATCCTTCTCTATGGCGGTGAGACGTGGCCATTGAGAGCGGAAGACATGAAGAGATTGTCTGTTTTTGACCACAGATGTTTACGATCTTTCTCTCGCGTTAGGTGGTATAATAAAGTAAACAATGTTGACGTTAGGCGTAGAGTGTTGGGCAAAGAGGGAAAATCAATAGAAGAGGCTATAAAGTTACATAGATTGAGATGGCTAGGCCACGTGCTGCGCATGCCTGACCATCGTCTCCCCCGACGGGCATTACTAGCTGATATAGGTGCAGGTTGGAAAAGAGTAGGTGGTGGCCAAACAAAAACATGGCCTCATAAATCCATGAAATCCCTGACAGTTAAACTGAGTCAGGTAGGGAGATGCAGACTTCCGGGTTAGGGCCCTCGGGACTCTAAAGATCAATGGCTGGAGACACTAGGTAACATGGCTCAAAATCGTTGTCAATGGCGCAGATGTATTTAGTCTCTGTAATCTTTCATATTCCTTTCTACTATTACTCATTCTGTTTCACTCTTATACTTGTCAAAACTCTATTGATTCTCTTCACTCATTTTCTTGTCTACCTTTGTGTGCTCTTTGGAACGTGGCAACTCGAACTGCTGCACTTCGGTACCAAGTTCTATGTTGAATTCAGCAGCAGCAGTCTACACCTTACTACGTGACTTCAACTAACTGTTGTTTTGGTTCGATCACCACTCACTCTTTTCCTACTTGATCCATTCCATGTCAGCTAACATTTCCCGTCGGTCGAGGAAGGTGATGGATGGGTAGGGATGCATGTGTAACACATGTCCTCCTAACCATCTTTCTCAATCGATGTAGCTTCACAGCCTCGTCTATTGATTTTCCCCACCCACCTACCTAGCACTCGACCGACGCCTAACCTCAATATTGCTCACCCTATTATACCACTTGTAGACCAATTACTTGGTAAATTAACCTACACAACTCCTCTCCGTATGCATATGCACATATTTCTCTCTACAAATATTCAGGCAACATACACGCTGACATGAATTCTTGTCCAAAAATTGAAAGGTAGATTGCTACATACATTTGAATGAGAAAAAGAAGAACAGTATTTTTTTCTCCTAATAAGCGTCAGTCAATAGACAAATCCGATTGTTATTTAATCAGTATTTTATAATTAATATGTCATCTATATAAGACAATGAAAAAAATCATTGAACGTGCTTCGCTTTATATTTTTAACACAGTCTTCTTTATCTTACCGGTCGGTGTGAATTACATTTTTCTTTAAATCATATGATTTGAATATTTTTAACACACAACTCAACGTGCTATATACTACTAAGAGTGTTAAAAGTATTTAATTGAATCTTTCAGATTTTCCCGTCGACTGACTGGACCGAAGTGCTCGGTCTCAGGTTGACATGTCAGCTTCTTGTGCAGATCCTTAATATGACCCGTTGCACAAGAGGTGGCTCTCGTGTCCCAAGATGGTCTAGTGGATAACGCTTGGGCGTTGGAAACTATGGGCACTGGGTTCGAGTCCCGGTGGGAACATCATCACTCATTTGGGAATGCAGGTACATCCAGAGGTAGAGTTCCAGATAGGACGAAATGCGTATCCTGGATTCCACTGATAGTCACCATCCACCAGTTAAATGTTAATATCGTTACATACCCTTGGGTTAGCTGAATCTGTGTCAGTTACCTTAAAATAGGTGTCGATGGTTCAGTGGTAGAATGCCCGCCAACCACGCATGTGGTCGGGGTTCAATCCACGTCCGACGCACTCCTAGACCTCACTAATCCGGTAGTAAGGCCAGTGAAGAGAGAAGGTTGGGCATGAGGCTAGTAAAAATTAAAAAAACCACCACTTTGTGCAATAGTTTACTCATACACATAACTATCA